CCCCAAAACCCCAAAACCCCAAAACCCCAAAACCCCAAAATAATTAAGATATATTGAATACATATTAAGAGTCATGTGCTCCTTTACCTTTTAGTTTTTCAAGTTGTTCCCTGAGCCTCAGGATCTCAGCATCCTTCTCTTTAATCTGAGCTAGAGTATATGAGAGATATATTACTGTTCTTTTCTTTGACAATGTTCAGAACCTTCTTGAGGACCTTGTAGTTCTTGTCTATTCCCACGAAGATGTCTTCATCATATGGGATTCTTACTTCATTATCTTTCACTATTTGATCGATCTTTTCAGTCTCTTCAGATGTAAGTGACTCTATAAATCAGTTTATACACAATCTTCTTAGATTTTTATATAAAATCTTTGGATTTTTAATTACCATTGGTAAGAAGAGTATGTAAGTTCTCTAGTTTGGAGGAGTAAAAATCATTTAGTGTCATTATGACATCCTTCAGAGACATTGACTCATCATCTTCATCCTCTCCTTCATTCTGCTTTTCATCCTCAAATACTTCTAACTGAGGGGGATCTTTATGGGGTTCTTCCGCGTCTATATCGCCTAAGAGATTTTCTTCAATATTATGAGATGAGGGTTTGTGTTGTTCGCTCTCATTCTCGGCTTGTTGTTTATTTCCTGTCTTCCATTTCCTCTTCTCTTTCAGCAGCGTTGATCTCTTCAATTTTGGAACGGCAGAATTTGGCTAACCTCTCAAAAGAGTTAACTAGGGAGAACAGAGAGTAATAAGTACTCTTGAGGTCCTCTTTTTCCTTAACTATCCATCGGAGTTGTTCTAGGCTAGGTAATTTAGAGTTGATCTCCTCTAGAAGTTTAGCGATATCCTCCTACAAGGTTATTTATGGCATACCTTTTGGGTCTACAGGTTAGAAATTGATTTACCTTTGGCTCCTCTTTAGTCTCTTCATTCTTTATTCTTCTGAATGAGTGTTAATAAGGGGCTTACTAAGGATTAAGATGAAAGCTTACCTCTTCGAAGATCTTGTTGTTTTTGAATTTGATGGTGATCAGAGTTTTAAGGTCTGTGATACACTCGTCTAAGAGATCGCAGTTGTTCTTCATATTGAATTCACTTTCTTTGGGTATTTTCTTTTTACTCGAATTGATGCTAATTGGGCTATGAAGGGTTAGAGTTTAGCCTTTACTCGCTATCTTTTGTGTGAATGTGGTTGTTTTCAAAAATACTGAAGACACTGTCATTGACTGAGGTCTTTTTGACAGATTGTGAATACGGGTCGATGTCTTTGTGATCTGGCTCCATTTCTATAATTGTAAAATTTTAAATTGTTTCTTTTGATATTGGGGTTTTGGGGTTTTGGGGTTTTGGGGTTTTGGGG